TCCCCTGCCAGGACCCAAAGTGGGCTCTGACCCCGTCATGTGGGGTGACAGGGGCTGGATGTCCCCTGCCAGGACCCAAAGTGGGCTCTGACCCCATCGTGTGGGGTGATGGGGCTGGCAGTGCCCTGCCAGGACCCAAAGTGGGCTCTGACCCCATCGTGTGGGGTGATGGGGCTGGCAGTGCCCTGCCAGGACCCAAAGTGGTGCTGACCCATCGTGTGCGGTGATGGGGGCTGGTGGTGTCCTGCCAGGACCCAAAGTGGGCTCTGACCTGTCATGTGGGGTGACAGGGGTTGGATGTCCCCTGCCAGGACCCAAACTGGGCGCTGACCCCATCGTGTGGGGTGATGGGGGCTGGTGGTGCCCTGGCAGGACCCAAAGTGGGAGCTGAGCCCATCGTGTGGGGTGACAGGGGTTGGATGTCCCCTGCCAGGACCCAAAGTGGGCTCTGACCCCATCATGTGGGGTGACAGGGGTTGGATGTCCCCTGCCAGGACCCAAACTGGGCTCTGACCCCATCGTGTGGGGTGAGGGGTGTTGCTGTGCATCTGCCAGGACCCAGAGTGGCTGTTTTGCGGAGTGTTGGGGGCTGTAGGTACCTGACAGGACCCAGGTCGGCTGTTGCACCCCATATTGAGGTGTTTGGTTGCTGATTCTCCCCTTCCAAGACCTGAATGGGTTGTGTTATCGTATATTGAGGTGTCTGGGGGCTGTTTCTCCCCTTCCAGGACCCTCATTGGCTTATTTCACCCCGTTTTGAGGTGTCTGGGGGCTGTTTCTCCCCTTCCAGGACCCTGATTGGGTTATTTCACCCCGTTTTGAGGTGTTTGGGGGCTGTTTCTCCCCTTCCAGGACCCTGATTGGGTTATTTCACCCCGTTTTGAGGTGTTTTGGGGCTGTTTCTCCCCTTCCAGGACCCTGATTGGGTTATTTCACCCCGTTTTGAGGTGTTTGGGTGCCCATGGCTGCAGGTGTCACCTCTGTCCCATCCAGGACCTGTGCTGGGAGCCTCTGCCATGGGATTTTATTGTTTTATTGCATTTTATCGAATTTTATCAGGATTTCTTTTATTTACCAACCAGCACCTCTCAGTGTCGGCGACTCAGCTGAGCCTTCACCCCAAAATCCAGCCCCGGGGGGGGTTTGGTGCCTTCATCCCTTCCCCTGACAACTCCTCCTGCGGGTGGTAAATGGGGAAAAAAGAGCATTCAGCACCAAAATTCCCATTTTTCACACCCTCATTCCCAGTGTGGGGGTCCAAACGCCTTTACTGGTGGTTTTCCATCAGGTGGGACACTAAAATTGACCATTTTTGTCTGAAATTAATGAAGGCTTTTTCCCCTTCCAAGTTAAATTTGATTTTTTTTTTTTAATTGGCCTCAAACTGGTGAGGGGAAAATGCATCTCAAAGCCCAGAGGGGTCAGTTTGGTTAAAAAAATCAGCTTTAAAGTGAAGCCACTCGCTTTGAAAAGGCTCAGAAGTGGATAAATTCAGATTTTAGAAGCTTTATTTTCCCCCAAAAGGTTAGAAATTAGTACATTTGGGGGTTACTTCCCCCTTTCCCCCTAGAAATACTTAGAAATGGGTTAAATCTGGGGTTTGGAACCTTTTCCTTGGCCCTGAAGTGCCCAGAAATTGGTAAATTTGTATTTCAGACTCCTTTTTTTTTTTGCCCCCAAATGCTGAGAAATGGGTCAATGTGGATTTTGGAGCTCCCAAGAATGAGTAAATTCAGCTTTGAGAACAATTTGTGTTTCTGGAAAAGCTTAGAAATGGATAATTTTGGAATTCAATCTCCTACTTTTCCCCAGAATTGTTCAAAAATGAGTAAATTTGGGAGTTTTCCCCCACAGTGTTGAGAATTGGTACATCTGGATGACAGAGCTCACAAAAATGCTCAAAATGGGGTAAGTTTGGATTTTAACCCCCTCCAAAACGCTCAGAAATCGGCACACACTGATTTTAGAGCTCCCTCTTTTGCACAAAAGCTCAGGAATGAATAAATTTGATTTTAATCTCCCTTTTTTTCCCCCCCCAGACCCCTCAGAAATGGGCAAATCACCTTCTGCTGCTCCCCTGACCCTTTCCTTTGGCTTTTTCTGCACTTTTTGGCCAATTCCTGAATTATTTTTCCTCAGATATCCCATGTGGGACACACAGGCACCCCCAAACCAGCCCTAAATTCACTTTTTAAAACTTTGCCCCCACCCCAACCACCCCAAATCCCCATTTTTACCCTTTTGCCTCTCCCAAACCCCCCCAATCCCCATTTTTTTATCCTTTTCCCTCTCAGAACATCCGTACCCCATTTTTTATCACTTTTTCCTCCCCCTAACCCCCAAAATCCCTATTTTTATTAACCTTTCTCCCCCTTGAGCAGAAGTTTTGCCCATTTTTAACCTTTTCCCCCCCGGATCAGCAGCAGCCTGGCCTCTCTCCCTGGATTTGAGGTGAAATAACACTTTTTCCCCATTTTCCCAGCGGGAAGCCAACTCCTCCCCCTCCTCCACAGCTGAAACTTGTTGGTTTGGGGTTTTTTTTTATCCTTTTTTCCCGATTTTTGCCGTTTTCAGCCCATCCCAGCAGAGAACAATGGCGAGGCCGCGGCAGCTCCGCAGCCGGGCTGGGGGGGGGGAGCACCCAAACCGAATTTTCCCTTAAAAAAAAAACAACCCAAAAATCAAACCTAAACTTGAGATTTTCCACACTTGGCACCAAGTTCCTGAGCAAAGGCCTGGCCGGCTGCTCCAGCGCCAGGAGCAGCAGGAAAACCGGGGGGAAACACCCCAAAAAAACCCCAAAATCGGGGATTTCTGCAGCGTGGGGGAAGCGGCGCCTCACTCCCCGCTGTGCCTCTTCCCCCAGTTTTTCCCTTTTCCCCCCATTTTGGAGCTCCCCTCCCTCTTTCTTTGTTCCAACTCCTTCCTCCCCTTTGCCGGAATCACTCCCCCTTTTTTTTTTTTCTTTTTTTTTTTTTTTTTTTTTATTGTGGTTTTTGCTACATTTTTTCCATTTTTCCACCTATCCCCCCCCTTCCTTTCACCGTTTCATTTGCAATTTCCACCATTTTCCCCTCATTTCTCTCTCCCCTCATCCACTCAGGAGGGGGTTTCGCTTTAGGATCGCGGGGCCCCCCTTCCCCGGGTGGGGTTTTTTGGGTGTTTTTTCCGTTTTTTTCCCCTTTTTCTCGAGGTGCGGGGAGTGGGAGCGTCACGTGTGTGGAAAATTCTGGTTGATGCTTTGCCAACGCGCCCCGGCTCCCCGCGCATGTCCGATGGGGCCGGGGGGGGGGTTGGATTTGGGGGGTGAAAAAGGGGGGAAAACACCCCAAAAATGGCAGGATCGGGCCCGCAGGGGCTCGGCCCCATCCCCGCCAGCGGCCGCGTGTCCCCGGCAACACCCCCAGGTGACGGTTTGGGGCGAAAAACCCGCGGAAAGGGGAATTTGGAAAGCGAGAAGCGGCGTGGGGTGTGTGTGTAGGGGGGGAACAGGGCGGGCTGGGCCTCGGCGCCGCCGCCATGGGAAAAAACGGGCGGAAAAAGGGAGATTTTGGGGCTCTCGGCCCCACGGGTGGTCCCGGCGCCCGGCCCGGCCGCCCGGGGCTGGCAGGCGGCCGTGCCAAGGGATTAGGCTGGAATGTGACCCCGGCGGCGCCGGGTGTTGCTTCCTGTCCCCTCGCCAACCTTGGCACCCGCTGTCACCCCCCCCCCGTGCGCGTGTGTCCCCCTGGGGACACCCCGGCGGTGATTTACGGGTGACAGCGCGGGGGACGCGCCAGCGGCTGGCAGATGTGACGCCTCTCCGTGTGACACCTCTCCGTGTGACACCTCTCCGTGTGACACCTCTCCGTCGCCGGCGTCACCCCGGGCGGCTGCCAGAGCGGCGGGGACAGCCGGGGCCGTGACACGGATGCGGTGTCACCGCCCCGGGGACAGCGGGCGGCGGGAATGCGCGGTGGCCCCTGTCACACGGGGATGCCGGTGGCCCTCGGCCAAGGGCTTGGGAAATCCTCTGCTGGCGCTTGGTCACCGTGACACCACCGGTGTCCCCGTGTGAGGGGTTGGGGAATCCTCTGCTGGCGCTTGGTCACCGTCACCGTGACACCGGTGTCCCCGTGTGAGGGGTTGGGG